TAATGTAAAGCGAGGCTTACATTTTGGCGAGCCATGTAACTGCTGGTATTCTCACCAACGGGTTTCCCCTTTGTTTATTAGAAGCATGCGCACGGGGGCCTCGCCATTGTCATACACGAGGCCACTGTGAAATGACCTCAAGTTTCTCAAGTGTTTTCATACCTGTTTTGTTAAGGGCTTTCTTGCCTTAATCGATTTCTTTCCCCGCAATTCTAGTGGATACATGTGATGGCTATTTTGTATGATACTTGTGAGTCATTCAGGGACGCCTCGTGTATGATTAAACGTTCTTATTTGTTGTTTTTAACGTCATGGATGTCATTGCGTGCCGGCCCTTCGCCGCCTACCTAATCACTTTATTAATGCTTGATAAACGTCAAGCTGTCTTATTGCCAATGTTGACAGCTTAAAGCTGCTGAAAGAAATCGAAATTTTAGCGCCGATAAAATCTGTAAGTCCGATAAAAATCTGTAAATATATCGATAATTGTCGATTGGTCACATTTTTTTCAATGTATCAATCAATTTTATAGATAGTTATTTTATAGTGTCATCGATTATCGACTAACCGGCACTCGTGGTGGCCAAAGGTTAAAATTACCGTTCTCTTTTACAATTATTTTGAGATTTTGAAAACTGGTCGCTTAATAGAGGGTGGCCTCTAAACACCGCGAAGATTTGGTGCCACACAGTATAATTCAAATCAAAGAGCCGTTAGGAAATTTTCGCTTCCATCGTCAGCTCGATCTTTCACGCATCTAAACAAAGGGAATAACCTTGCAGGAGCCAAGAGCCCATTATTCTGGATTACTTTATTTTTTGGATTATCCGCTCGGCCTCTATAATAACTGAGCACTCTCCGCGAATAAGCGCCCACAAAAATTGATTTATACATCTTCACAATTTATTAACTGTTTTGCGCAAAATAAGCATATTACTTGCTGAAAATAGATAGCCCCCAGCCTCGAAGAAGCGCCCACTATCAAATTCTAAAAACTTATTAAACGCCCAGGCGCTTTATCGAATAAATACAGTCCTTGCAAACATAAGTCAGCTGCGTAGGTTGGAATGGAAGCGAACTGGTGGCCAATACTTTTATTGGCTAAGTCGATAAAAGCTATTTCTAATTATCGATTTGCTTTGCTATTTGAGCTTGATACTCACAGGCTGATATATAATTAATGGCCACTACAACGTATCAGCTACTTATCAAATTGTCACCACCTCAACACTGTTATTGAGAAGAAGTCCGTTATAAGACTCGAAATACCGCGTCTAGTAACGCTGTTGCTACTGATATCTACATTTTGCGGAGAATTGCGAAAACGTAAACGTTGATCATAAGGAATACACCGCTACAGCAAAGTGGTGAGAGATCTTTTTGTTCCTTAACCTGTCATGTTGCAATCTGAGATTTGTCTAGCGGCTTTCTCATTGAATTAATTATGTTCCTAACTGATATATTTGTATAGATCTGTGTGAATACTTCTTAGTCATTGAGTTCTTAATATTCAGACGATGCTCTTTTCATAAGAAAAAAAAAAAGCTCAAGTTTTACAACAGACCATACAGGTCTCTTGTGTTGTTTAAGGCTATCTCACACTGGATAGCTTTTTGTGCTTTTCCAAAAGCTCACTGTGTAGTATCCGTATCATATCAGTATGAACACTTATCCGATGAGTGACTCTCCACTTCAGAGTTCGGCACGGCGCAGCTTCGCTCCGTTAGAATAGAATAGAACCAATAGAATAATTCTTTATCTAAACACGATAAAATTCATCAGGAGTATAAAAAAAAATTATATAAACCTAACTACCATAAACAATATGCAAAACTATCTACAACTAACCTAACTAAGATTTGTTTTTCATGAAATCCGTGTACAAAGTACTTAAAAAATCAGAAATTCAGATGAGCCAATAATTTAAATTGACTTAAAGATTTAGCCGCTCGCATATCACAGGGCAGGTTGTTCCAGGGAACTGCTCCGCTATAACTGAAGGTGTTCTTCACGAAGTTAGTTCGCGGGAACGGGACAATTAGTTTGTTAACAGAGTCTCTTAAGGAGTAGCGCGTTTCCTATCGTTTAACAAATTTAGGGGATAATTATTCTGAAACAAGATCATTTAAAGACTAGTAAACCATCAGGGCGTTATGTATTTGAAACTGAGTGCTCAAGTCTTTCCAATTAAGTTGTCTAAATAAGCGGTTGGCATCAGCATCATATCTCGAAAAGGTTAGAACACGGGGCAGCACGGTTCGAACGCGTCTGTAGCCTGTCAAACAAAGTTTCTTCGTTAAAGAAATCGTGCCCAAGTGTGAACAGAAGCCTTATCCGATATGATTTTCGGCAACGGTGCACCGAGTAGAACCTGCACATAGTCTTGACTCTGTTACTCGTGAAAAAAATTTTCCATGACGATCCTTTCAATCTTGAAATTCGTGCGATGCCGCGCACAGGTACTTGTCAAACACTTCAACGGCATCCATGCGAGAAGTATAACGCTGATTCACTCAATCAATAAGGTTACTTCAGGCATTGGGAATTGCGCACTACGAAGCTATTGTTTGGTGGTCTCTCAAGCATATCATTGCAAAGAGTTTCTTATGCACAAATGCCCAATGCACAATTGCCAAAGGAAACTTTATTTAATAAGGTATGTTGTACGACCGTTCCTTTAAAAGAGTCGAGGTGTACGGGTTATTTTCTAATGGTGCAATAACTGCTTACTGGGGTTAACGCAGGAGAATCTATATCGTCTGTACTCTGAGTTCCTAACATTGTCTTCTTCTATAAATAATTAGTCATATCTTCCACATTAAATAATTAATTAGTTTCAATGTTTCTTAAGGGGAGTATTTTTCCTTGGAGCCTGTATATTTGTTTTCTTTTTCACTTGCATTTATTTGAGTAAGTTCTTGTTCACAAGTGTACGTATCCTTAGCTATTTTTTTTAACGGACCGAGTGTTTGTTTGTTTGTTTTTGCGGGTTGGGCTTCCTTCAACACGTAACCCGGCGATCAAAATTTTGAAAACACCGCTTTCGCGTACTTATGAGCGGACGGCTGAAAACGAACATTTTCGAAGATCACGGAATAACAGGATCTGATCTCGTACAGGAGAAAGAATGCCATTGAACTGTTTCGGCTTTTTTTAAACATTTATAACATATCTGAAGTTAATTTTTTTTTCTTTCAAGAAGTTTGTTTTTCTTGTTACTTGACTTTATCAGTCGAGTCGAGTAGCTCAACAGTCAGGTCTAAGTTTGGGTGATACGTTTAAGTGCTTAGCGAGATATCTTTCCCCAGCAAACATTTTTTTTTTTTCAGAAAGGAGTGGGAGAACATATGACAACATATGTTTCATTTCAGACTTGAAAATGGGATATGTTTCGACGGGGGCAACGATTCAAACAAGAGGGGCAACTTGTTTGCAACCAAAAGAAGAGCCTTTCTTCAAATAAATGCGAATACTTGTGGACGAGCTCTATAAAAAGATAACACAATATATTAAGTATCATGCATGTAAATGTTAGTCAAACTACCTAGCTTCCATTTACTGGTCGTAGGCATTAAATTAATTTACATTCTAGCTTCCATTAGACGACCGTGGGTTCCTTGCCATTTGATATTTTCAATTAAAATTTGATGTGCGTCACTGCCGGGCGTCTAAAATTTAAATCGGGACACTATTAAATTAACAGAAGCTAAATTTGCTGACAGAGACTGTTGGCTAGAGAAGGACATCGAAAGATACTGACAACACATCACTCTGCAAGCTGTCGCAGGAAAACTCGAAAAACTAATTTACTCGAGACTATTAGTAGAAACCGGTAAAACTAAACTCTAAAAACTGGTAAGAGGAGTTCAGTCGAGTTTTCACTTCCCTTTTGAGCCGTCTATTTAAAATTTGTTAAGATTGAGTTTTATTGTATTTTATGCCAATTAGGTGTTGTTTGTTGAACGATAACGTCCTCGCTTAAGTTTTATTAATAGTCCATAATAGGAAGGAAACAGCCATGAAGATAAGAATTTTTCAACAACGGCGCTGAACGTGCAAAACGTTTTTTTGAACATTTCCGTATAGTCACTGCACGTCAAGGCATGAAATTTCCTAATGCGACGTGTACTAAAGAACGTAAGCAATTGATGAATTTTTACCTTCTCTACTTGAATTTTGAAAAATTCGTCTCCAGGAAAATTTACCCGCTTCAACACTCTAATAGGCGAGGATACATGCCAGCTGTTTCAGGTGTTTGTTTGTAACAAGAAGGTCTTGGAAAGTAGACTGAATGAGCTTGAGAAAAAGTCGGCTCCTTTGAGCTTATAATTGTTACTAACTGTTTCACAGGCTAACTAAATTCACTCCAGCTCAGCTAGTGGTTTTATTTTGTGCTATCCTTTTTTCCAAATTAATATCAATGAGAGATGGGCTTGAGGAATGAACACGAGAGAACTTCCTATTCATTCTGAGAAAATGATCGCTTAACATTTCTTTTCTTTCATCCCCAAGGCAGGCACTAAAGACGAAGTTGTGTCGCCGAAGCTTTCAAAAACCTGTCCCTATTGTACAAAATATTTTACTAGCATATTTAATTCATATAATTCAAATAGTTTTATTTCCTGAGCACTTATGTAAATTTTCGCCCTCATGTATTTATGCTTTTAGAAGGAATAAATGACAAGGAAAATTAGTCGCGGACAGATCCAACTTCCCTGGATGTTCCTATATTGTAAAAAAGAACATAATTTGTCTTTAAAAAAGAGTTCTTTAGAAAAACAATTTATATGTATATATTTTTTTCAGCCATGACTCTAAGAATAGTTTTCCGTACCTCCGTTCTGGTTCTCCTGATTTACAGCGCAGTAACTCAGAAATGTCCTGCAGGTGGAAGATCCGAGAGCTCCATCGTGGGCTGGATGTTACGGGGACACGTATACGACACTCTTATCGCTGAACTTCCGTTTACGTGCGTATTCAAGTGTCGCTAAGACAATCGATGCCAAAGTTTTAACTGGGTTATCTCTCTTCTCACGTGCGAGTTTAACAACCGGACTAAGGAAGCCAGTCCTGAGGACTTCATTCCAAACCCAGACAGATCTTACTATCGACGTGATTTAAAACGAGGTGAGCCTAGTGAGGGAGCATAAAGTATAACCTATGCAAGGGTAAAAGTTAACTGATATAATAAGGAACTGCTTCTGACCTTTCAGTTCCACTCGGCTCTATTCAAGAACTACCAGCAGAGTCTTGTGAGGAAATAAAGAGGAGTGAAGGGCACGCTGTCAGCGGGAAATACTGGTTTTCCTCAGTAAAATCTGGTACATCCGTTCTGGCTTATTGCAACATGGAGACCAACGGTAGGTCAGGTCTTCAACTGACAAAAAGTTAGCCTGGACCAGGCTCGTCTCCCTTCGCACCCGATTTTATTATTATTATCATTATTATTATTATTATGAAAAAAATGCTAATTATGTAAAGCTGAGTCGAAAACATCTTGACTTAATAGTCTTAGTTTGTAATTATTATTATTATTATAAAAATAATAACCTTTTATTGATAGCAAAACTAACTATTAAAACCTATTTACAATTAATTTAATTCGCTGAAGATGAAAAAATATATATATTCAGTCAAAGCACTATTTACAAGTCATTTCATTTCATAAGCTCCTGTTGATTTCGGCGATTAAAAAACATTTATTCAAATTAGCTCAAATTCTTTTATTGATAACAAAGATAACTATAAAATCCTATTTACAATTAATTTCACTTAAAAAAAACTATTCAGCCAAAGCACTATTTACAATTCCTTTCGATTAAAAAAAGACACTTAATTTCGAAATTCATTCCATTAAAAATATATATATATATTGGAAAAAAAAATTCAGTGAAAAAACGGTTCATTTCAACTAAACAGTAAATTACCGAGCTCACGCCATTATCACGCACGCTTGGGTATCGTTTAAGCAGCAGTCATCATTTAATGAAATCCCCTTGTGGAATTTTGTGGAAGTGTGTCCTAAAACTTCTTACGCATGTGTGTACCGACCTTAAAACCTCAAAAGAAAGCAATGTTCTAATCCAAGCGGCTAGGCGTTTGAGAAAGCAGTTGCAGTCGGCTGCCATGCCACGGTTGGTTCCATTATTATTATGATTATTATTATCATCATCATCATCATCATCATCATCATCATCATCATCATCATCATCATCATCATCATCATCATTATCATTATTATTATTAATTTTTTATTTCGCCTTTTCCCCCACTGTGGAGACTCAGGTCTCAGGCTAACGAAAAGTCACTATCACAACTTTGAGGTTACTTCTCCCATTTCGGGCACATGCAGAACTGTATCCTATCTAAGATAACACCACAGATTAATATTGCTGACTTATTGCTGGAACATTTGTATAGAGCCTCATAAAATTTCGTTAAAGCAAGGTTTTACCAACAAAATAAAAATCTCACCAATGGTCCTGTTAAAACACCCTTTGTTCTCCCCATATTGCAGTTTAGGGATATGTGTTCCTTTTTCAGATGTTGACGAATGCAGTGCTTCTTCTCCTGTATGTGACAGCAATGCCATCTGCTCCAATACTCGTGGATCGTATATCTGTACCTGCAAGTCAGGATACACGGGCGATGGAAAAACATGCCAAGGTAGGTTTGAAAATGTCAGGTTAACACAGAGGGTTAGGGACGTTTTTCTTTATACCAACCGAATAAAAATTTCACCATTGGTCCTGTTAAAACACCCTTTGGTCTTCCCATATTGCAGTTTAGTGATACGTTTCTTTTTCAGATGTTGACGAATGCAGTGCTTCTTCTCCTGTATGTGACAGCAATGCCATCTGCTCCAATACTCGTGGATCGTATATCTGTACCTGCAAGTCAGGATACACGGGCGATGGAAAAACATGCCAAGGTAGGTTTGAAAATGTCAGGTTAACACAGAGGGTTAGGGACGTTTTTCTTTATACCAACCAAATAAAAATTTCACCAATGGTCCTGTTAAAACACCCTTTGGTCTTCCCATATTGCAGTTTAGTGATATGTGTTCTTTTTCAGATGTTGACGAATGCAATGCGTCTTCTCCTGTATGTGACAGCAATGCCAACTGCTCCAATACTCGTGGATCGTATATCTGTACCTGCAGGGCAGGATATACAGGCGATGGAAAAACATGCCAAGGTAGGTTTGAAAATGTCCGGTTAACATAGAGTGTTAGGGAAGTCTTTTAATTTTACATCTTGTGGCAACAATGAAGAAACTTTCCTAGCAACCTTTCATTTCATCCGACATGGTGGCCGCTAAGAACGGCTATTAACAACAGCCGTCGAATTTTTGTTTTCGCAGCCAAGTGAGATCATACCTTGGGCTGTGTTTCGTTCCTTCTGTACTTACTACACTCGTTAATAGAAAGTTATGAAACAAAATAGGCCAAAAATCAACAAATGATGAAGAATATTTGATATGGCCTGTGTAGAACGTCAT